CTCTGCTATGGCCTGCAAAAGCAGTAGAAGATGGCCCAAGTCCTTGGGCCCCTGCACCCACATGGGAGACCCGGAAGAAGCTTGTGGCTCCTGGCTTCGGATTGGCACAGCTCTGGCAGGCTGTTATGGCCATTTAAGGAGTGAACCAGCGGATGGAAGACCTCTCTCTCTCTCTTTCTGCCCCTCTTCTCTCTCTGTGTAACTCTTTTAAATAAATAAATTAATTTTTTATAAAAAAAAAGAACTCTAAAAGAAGAAATTAATGGAAAAACAACAGTGGATATTTGCCTTACCACCAAGATTTTAAGAATACTTAAGCAAGCAATATTTATTTTACTGTTGTGAATAATTTTTCCTTATCTTGAGAGATACTGTAAAGAGTATTAACCAATATCTTTTTGGAAAACTTTAAAAGTTTGCCCCCCTTTTTTTGGGGGGGAGGCAGAGTGGACAGTGAGGGAGAGAGACAGAGAGAGAGGTCTTCCTTTGCTGTTGGTTCACCTTCCAATGGCCGCCGCGGCTGGCGCACCGCGCTGATCCGAAGCCAGGAGCCAGGTGCTTCTCCTGGTCTCCCATGTGGGCACAGGGCCCAGGGACTTGGGCCGTCCTCCACTGCACTCCTGGACCACAGCAGAGAGCTGGCCTGGAAAAGGAGCAACCGGGACAGAATCCGGCGCCCCGACTGGGACTAGAACCCGGGGTGCCGGTGCTGTAGGAGGAGGATTAGCCTAGTGAGCCGTGGCGCCGGCCCAAAAGTTTGCCCTTAATATCGACTGTTACTGCCCCAAGATCATATATGTGCATCCATTAATATTTACTTATACAATGAAGATATTGACATACTATTTTGTGAAACACAACAAGTATTTTCTAAGTTCTAAATATTCTAGATGAGCAACTATAGAAAAATAGCAAACAGAATTTTGAAGGTCAAAAAATACTCCATCAGATATAAACATGTACTAACATGTATTCTTTAACATTTAAAAAAAACTATTTTCATTTATTTGAAAGGCAGAGACAGATGGAGGGAGACATTCCATTTTCTGATTCACTACTCAAATGCCCACAATAGTCAGGGCTGTGCCAGACGGAAGCCAGGAGGCAGGAACTTATTCTGGGTCTCCCACGTGTATGGCAAGGGCCCAAGTATTTGAGTCATCACCTACTTCCTCCCAGGGTGAGCAATAGCAGAAAGCTGGAATGCAGTGGAGTAGCCAGGACTCAAACCAGGATTCCTACGCAGGATGTGGGAATCCAAGTGCCTGGTCCCCAAATCCATTCTACTTAAACACTGTGACAAGGCAGGGACAGACACACAGCTCCTTAGAGCATAACCAAGAATTCCAAAATTGACTCACGTGTATAGTAAAAGAGAATTTCACAGCCAGAGGGAATTAAATGACATTGAGACAACCAAGGATTAAGTTAAGAAAAAGTAAAGTTACTTTATTCTTTTGAATCACATGGACAAATAAATGCCCAAAGGATGACAGATCTAAGTGTAAAGAAAAAAAAAAAGGCATTTATCAAAGTTGAAAATAACTGCTTTGGGGTAGGTATCTGGTATAGCAGTTAGGACACTTGGATACCATATTGGAGTAATTGGGCTTGATTCCCACCTCTAGCTCCCAGTTCCAGCTTCCTATTAAGGTAGACCCTAGTAATTGGGTCTTTGCCACCCAAGTGAGAAACTCAGATTGTGTTCCTGACTCCCAGCTCCTACTCTGTTTCAGCTGTCTATTGTGGGCAGCTGGGGAGGGAGCCAGCAGATGGTAGCTCTCTCTTCCTCTTTCTCTGCCTTTCAAATGCATAACATTTTAAAAAAATTAAAATGAAAAAATAATACTTCTATAATAATGGCCTCTCTCCATAAGATGCAAAACTACTAAATAAAAATTTTAAATCTAGATATATTTGAATATGCAAAAATTTAAACAAAAGACCACTATAAAATTAAAAGTTTAGCAACAGTTTGGAGAAAAATAATGTGACATGTAATAATGGATGATATCCACAATTTCTCTATAAATCCATATAAAAAGGACAAACAATCCAAAAGAAAACTGATCAAAGATTCTAGAATAGGCAAATCAAAGAAAAAAAATTTAAGTCAATTAGAAACAATGTAATGGAGTATTATTGTTGGTCCTTTAGAACGGCAGTATCTCAACATCTGTCCCTTCCACTCCCAGGCCCCAGGACTGATGAGGGTGAGTGAGTAGACCAGGCATGCCCATGAATGGCAGGTCTGTAAACTAATGCCCTTTTTGGGCAATTACAGTATGTAAACAATATATATCCACAGATCTGGCCAATCCATCGATGGTATTATCACAGAAATACTAACAATAATGCACACAGAAACATGCATAAAGAGAGTCAAGGCAGCACAGTTAATCATGAAAAACGGAAAAACTTCATAAAGATACATCTATAATATAATTGTTCAATATCTTAATGTTGAATTATCTATGAAATGCTATAGAGTCAAACAAATGAATGAAACATATTCTAATACAGATATTTTCTAGATGTTTTGTGAGAAGGTATACATAAATGCGTGTGTGTGTGTGTATGAAGGCACTTCAAGTTCATGGAAAATGAAACTCTAAGTTGTTTATTTTGGTGCAAAAAAATCCATACATAATGTTTTTACATAATGTTTTCATGAACTTTTTGAAGACTCCTTGTATATGTTTGTAAATGCAGAGAAAAATGTCTGGAAGGATCTACATCAAATCTTTACCACTGCTCACTTGTGAGAATGGAAATGAGATGGGGGAGGCATGAACGGGAGTTTCATTTTACTTATCGACTTTTGTATAATCTTTGAATGCTTTATTTGAATATGCTATTTTTGTACATAAAATACATGTATAGAAAAAATGCTCTCTACTTCTCCCTGTACCCCAATTTTATTATGCTTGTTCACAGAGTACAGAAGAGAGATTCTCTTTCAGTAGAAGTACTTGGTCCCCTTCCACCCATGGGGGAGGAGGATGAGGATGGAGTTGGGGCCATTTGGGGATGGTCCCAGTTGATGAAAGAGCTCTCTTAGTCTCTCCCCCTCTCTAACTCTGCATTTCAAGTAAATAAATAAATCTTAAAAAGAAATTCATTATTCTGAATCAGAGAATTAAAGAGAGAGAGGGAGAGTCAGAGAGAGAATGTATGTGTAATACAGAGAGAGCTCCCATCTGCTGGCTCACCCCCAGATGCCCACAATGGCCAGGGCTGAGCCAGGCTGAAGCTGGGAGCTGGGAACTCAATCCAAGTCTTCCCATGGGTGGCAGAAACCTAATTACTTGAGCTGTCACTGCAGTCTGCAATGGTCTGCAATAACAGAAAGCTGGAGTCAAGAGCCAGAGCTAGGAACTGAAACCAGGTACGCTGATAGAGAGAGAGAGGCACCTTAACTGCTAGGCTAAACTTCTGCCCCTATTAATTCAATTAAGAAACATCTGTGTTCAAATTGTTAGGCGCGCACCTGTTATACAAGAGAATTCAATACACTTGTGGGACAGAATAAACAAAACACCTGTGACCTGTGGGGTTCAATGACAGGATCACAAAGGTCCCTTCTGGTTTAAGTAATCTGCGAAACTGAAGGGTGCTGGGAGGAAAACTGATGGAGTCCCATGATCTTCTGTGGTATCAATAAAGACTGGATTCACATTCTAAGTTCCCTCTTCTGAAAATACAGTTTCTATCCTTAGCTCTGACTACTGTGAACCCAAAGTGACACACATGTGTCCACAATGACTCTTGCCAGAATCTGTTCTGGGCATACAACTTGAAGAGTGCATTCAAGAGTGAAATAAATGATGTTGATACTTGTCTTCTGGCCCAGAAAATGAATCTAAGAAAAGAACCAAATGCAGCCCTTTTGAATGACTCACATTTCCTTGAAAGAAATAAAAACAATTTAATTTTAGGAATTCTTATTCAGCATGATTAATCTTACAGATCCTAAAAGAGATATGAGTTCCTTATGAAATTCCAGAAATTAAGCATCTTTTCTAGTCATATCTTTAGTTTATTTAGATGTTTAATTATCTGAAAGGTGGAGCATCTGAAAGAAACTGGGGGGAGGGGTGTGGGATGGAGGAAGGGAGGGAGGGAGGGAGATCTTTCTTTTGCTGGTTCAATTCCCAAGTAGCCACAACAGCCAGGGCTGGGCTAGGCGGAAGCCAGGAGCAACAAACTCCATCCAGGTCTCCAACATGGGTGGCAGTAGTCCAAGCACTTTAGCCATTATACATTGCCTTCCGAGGTGCATTAGCAGGAAGCTGGATTGGAAGTGGGTTAAGCTGTCTCTTGTAACACCAGCTTCCCATATCACAATGCTGGCCACTAGTCATATTCTTTAAAACTGTCACATTTATTGTTAGCTTACCAATAAATGCATACAAGGGTGAATGTGAGAGAAGCAAAATGTTCATTAGATAGTTTTATGCTAAACCTTAATTGAAAAATCGTTCACTTGTGTTGGGCATTGCCTAAAATCTCCATTACAATATGGCGACTGGTGAATGTTTGAGGGGCGTGTCTGTGGCTGCTTCGGTTAAGGGTTAAGCTACGTAAGATCAGATCACTGGCAGGGATAGGTCCTCTTTAGTTCTGGACATGTGGACAGTGCGTGATCCCTATACTTTACTTAAGGTGCCCCTGTGCGTGGTCCACCCATGCCTGCGTGACCTTTTCGCTGATTGGCTCCCCTACTGCGCATGTCCTTCGTAAGCTTTATAAGCCTATATACTTCCTCAATAAAGCAGTTCCTGCTTCGACAAAACTCACGGGTGCTTGCTGTGGTGTGTTCTTCACCCGTCGACCTTACCCTTCCCGTTCGCCTTGTTGGGGAGTGTCTGTACTGGCCCCTGCTGGTCAGGGGCCAGCCTCAGGCTTGAGACCCCGACACACTTGCAATAAATGACATGACATAAAGATTTACCATCGTAATCATTTTCAATATGTCAAACTATATTTTGTCTACTCACCTTGTAAACTGTCGACTCTCTTCGTGAACTTCCATTTCTGTGCTTTTAAATTCATTTAGTTCTTTCCTTATTGCTGCCTGAAAAGGAAAATATAGATAAACAGGATTGTTATTTTGGTCATGTTTCCCCAATATATACAGCATGAATGAACAGACATTCTTTTAAGAAATGTTTCAGAGACAGAAAGGGATTCCTAATTTCCACCAGGCAATGGCATAATAAATATAATATACTACAAGTTGAGCACCCCTAATCCAAAAATCTGAAATGCTCCAAAATCCAAGCTTCTGAGTGCCGCCATCACACTACCAGTGGAAAATTCCACACCTGACCTAACGTGATGAGTCAGTCTAAATGCAAGTGAAGTACAAATATAGCATAAAATTACCCTCAGGATATAAGACTTCCTGAAACATAAATGAATGTCATGTGCTGACATGGGTACTATCCCCAATATATTTCATTATACATATGCAAAGATTACAAAGTTAGAAATCTGAAATACCTCTAGTCCCCACATTTCAGGTGAGGGATACTCAAAGGTGTAAAGCCAAATTAAAACCAGGATAGACATCCTCCAAGTGTCCTTGGCAGGAGGAGAGAAGGAGGCCTTTGTTGAACCCATCCTGGGGCCTGGTCTATGACTCACTCATAACATCCCCCACCCTCCCCGACCACAAGAAAGTGCAGGTTTTGAGATTTTCTGAGAAATAGTACCGTTGTCCTAGAAAAGCTCTGCATTTAGTGCCACCCACGACAACACGCCTTTGACTAACTGCCACAGAGCTACAGGGAAGTCAGTGACTGTTTATTCTTTAATATTGAAAGTTTAGACAAACAGAACTTAAAATTTCAAGCCAGCACTGAGAGCAACTCAAAGAAAATATTAACAGAACGCCATTACTATGTAAAGAACACACACTCTGTGCCGTGTAAATTTTGGTGTTCATAGGGCTGTGTCTGCCATTCAGACTCAAAAGCTGAGGAACACAGCAAAATGCTGTTAGTTATCTGTCAACAAATAGCGCCAGGATCACATGGGTTTTGGTTTTGATGTGTCGCATATTTTTATTTCCAATTTTTTCTAGATGTAAAAAAGGAAAAGTTACTAATTACACCCACCACACCTCTATGCAAAATGGACTCTTCAGGCAAAACACAGAATGACAATACAGAGCAACTTCGCTGAGAGAGATAAGAAAATGTACTCTGTGGATGGAAAATAATGAATTTTAGAAAAGGGAAAAGACAGAAGGAAGCCCTCAGGCCTCTCCCTGGCTCTCTCCTGCAGCTAAGCATCACTCTACAATCCAGAAGCCTTTCCCCGACATCCCTCTCAATGCTGTATTTAAATCCTGTGGCACAGATTCTTTTTGTTTTCCAAATATACACCTCAGCCCTTGCAGTTCCTATTATGGTCCCAGTTCCCAGGCCAGAATTCTTGCTACTGATGCCTGGAAGAGGAGATGTAACCAGAGAAATGTCTGCCGGTCTTAGCCTCTCGTGACCTGGCTGTACATCTTGTCCCATGCTTCAGACCAACAGTGAGGATGCTTTGCTTTGCTTACTGTAAAAACTGGTACCTAGGACCACAAGCTGCAATAGTAAAGATGTCCTATATCACCCACCAATAACCTCTATAATAAATTCTTCCCTAAAGGAGGAATTTTAAGAAATATCTTTAGTTATTTATTTTCACTTTATAAGAAAGGCTGAGATGGAAAGAGACAGAGACAGAGATCTTCCATTTGCTGGTTCACTTCTCAAATGCTGGGGCTAGGCCAGGACAGCCAGGATCCTGTAACTCAATCCACGTCTCCTAGGTGAGTGGCAGGGACCCAGGTACTTGATCTATCATTTCCTGCCTCCCAGGGTGTTCAGTAGCAGGAAGCTGGAATTCGAAGTGAAGTCAGGATTCAACTCAGTCTGATATGGGATACAAGTATCTCAAGCAACATCTTGACTGCTGTGCCAAATGCCCACCAAAAGGAGGTATTTTAATTGGAATAATGGCAGAGAATCCTGTCTCTATGTTCATTTTAAATTTCTTTTAGAAACATAAAGTTTCAGTAGAGAAAGCAACAATAGTGCATTTGCAGGCAGAAGACATGGATTCCAGTCTTGGCTGTGCCCTCTGTGAGTCATGTTGCTCCCAAACCCCCATTTCCCATCCCCATTCCTCACAGTACCAGCAACTATGGGGGAGCATATTTGAAAATACTTTGTACACAGTAAAGTCATCAATAAGATGTTATTATTATGAGCCTTTGAAAAAACAGAATTTTACTTTGTGTTTGTAACTCACAATTCTTTCATCTGTATTGAGGGAGAATCTAGTGGAGTGCAGAAAGATAGTGTCGTTGACGGAGACTCAAACAAAAAAAAGACCAAGTCCTTATTTGCCATTATAAGTTGCAAGAATCTGGCAAAAAATCAATGAACACTTTCTGTGAGAATCCACTGAGACATGAAGTTACAAAACCATACAACTGCAAATATTTGCAAACTATGCAACAGATAAAGGGTTAATAACCAGAATCTACAAAGAGATCAAGAAACTCCACAAAAACAAAACCAACAACCCAATTAAGAGATGGGCCAAGGACCTCAATAGACATTTTTCAAAAGAGGAAATCCAAATGGCCAACAGGCACATGAAAAAATGTTCAAGGTCATTAGCAATCAGAGAAATGCAAATCAAAACCACAATGAGGTTCCACCTCACCCCGGTTAGAATGGCTCACATTCAGAAATCTACCAACAACAGATGCTGGCGAGGATGTGGGGAAAAAGGGACACTAACCCACTGTTGGTGGGAATGCAAACTGGTCAAGCCACTATGGAAGTCAGTCTGGAGATTCCTCAGAAACCTGAAGATAACCCTACCGTTCGACCCAGCCATCCCACTCCTTGGAATTTACCCAAAGGAATTTAAATTGGCAAACAAAAAAGCGGTCTGCAGCCTAATGTTTATTGCAGCACAATTCACAATAGCTAAGACCTGGAACCAACCTAAATGCCCATCAACGGTAGACTGGATAAAGAAATTATGGGATATGTACTCTTTAGAATACTATACCGCAGTAAGAAACAACGAAATCCAGTCATTTGCAACAAAATGGAGGAATCTGGAACACATCATGCTGAGTGAAATAAGCCAGTCCCAAAGGGACAAATACCATATGTTCTCCCTGATTGGTGACAACTGACTGAACACCAAAAAGGAAACCTGTTGAAGTGAAAGGGACACTATGGGAAACGGTGACTTGATCAGCATAGCCCTGACTGTTAATGAACAACTTAATACATTATCCCTCTTAGTAGTTTTTTTGTCTGTTCTACTTAATATGACTGGTTTAATTCTGTAATTAATACACAGTTATTCTTAAGTGTTGAAATTGAACTGAAATGTGATCCCTGTTAAACATAAGAGTAGGAATAAGAGAGGGAAGAGATATATAATTTGGGACATGCTCAAGCTGACTTGCCCCAAATGGTAGAGTTAGAAACATACCAGGGGACTCCAATTTAATCCCATCAAGGTGGCATGTACCAATGCCATCTCACTAGTCCAAGTGATCAATTTCAGTTCGCAATTGATCATAATGAAAGGACTAAGAGTCAAAGGGAGCACATAAGCAAGTCTAGTACCTGCTAACACTAACCGATAGAATAAATAAAGGGGAGAGTGATCCAACATGGGAAGTGAGATACTCAGCAGACTCATAGAATGGCAGATGCCCTAAATAGCACTCTGGCCTCAGAATCAGCCCTAAAGGCATTCAGATCTGGCTGAAAAGCCCATGAGAGTATTTCAGGCATGGAAAGCCAAGACACTCTGGCAAAAGATCTCTGTGAGTGAGATCTCAGTGGAAAGAACAGGTCTTCAAAGAAGGAGGTACCTTTCTCTGAAGGGAGGAGAGAACCTCCACTTTGACTATGACCTTGTCTAAACAAGATAAGAGTCGGAGAACTCAAGGGGCTTCCATAGCCTTGGAAACTCATGACTGGAGCATAGGGAGATTACTGATGCCATAGACAGGAGTGTCAATTGGTAAAGTCAACAACAGGAGTCACTGTGCACTTACTCCTCATGTAGGATCTCTGTCCTTAATGTGCTGTGCATTGAGATTTAATGCTATAACGAGTACTCAAATAATATATTTCACTTTGTGTTTCTATGGGGGTGCAAACTGTTGAAATCTTTACTTAATGTATACTAAACTGATCCTCTGTAAAAAAAAAAAAAAAAGAAAAGAAAAGAAAAGAAAAGAAACTATCAACTCCCAACTTGACTCTCACTGGGATTAAACATGACAATAGGTCTGATCTGATTTCATCATCATTAAAAAAAATCATCTATTATTTTTCACTTTATGTTTCTGTGTGGGAGCAAACTGTTGAAATCCTTACTTAATGTATACTAAGCTGATCTTCTGTATATTAAGATAATCGAAAATGAATGAGAATGTGCCCTTCAGGGTGAAGAGGGAGTGGGAAAGGGGAGGGTTGTGGGTGGGAGGGACGGTATGGGGGGGAAGCCATAGTAATCCATTATTCGTACTTGGGAAACGTATATTCATTAAATAAAAGTTAAAAAAAAAAAAACACCATACAACTGCAAATTGTGTACTACACATCCTTTACATTAACTAAATTTTTACTTCTCTGATGACCATGCACATATGCACATATTTTTACCCACAGAGAGCCAGTTAAAGATTTGCAGGTCCAGCCCCAGTCTCCTTGGTACCTTGCCATTCCCTCAACAAGAGAGGCTGAAACTGGGTGAGTTGTGTGAAGTGCTCTGAACATCAGAGAGACGGTACCGTGCCAGCTGTGGGTACTCCTTACCTGGCACCTGGGAAACCAGCAGCTCTGCAAAAAGAAATGTAACTACTCTCGGGCAGCCATACTGTGGGAAACCTAGGTAGGAGGGAAGGTTCTAGAGGATGAGAGGTCGCATGGATAGGAAGAATGTAAGGCACAGACTCATTAGCAGTCAAGCAGACTTGGAAATGGATTCTCCAGGCCACCACCTCAGCCAATGCCATGTGGATTAGAAACACAGTGTAGA